ATGATGCTGCTTAGCCTGCTGTGTTCATCCAGCTCTGCACCTTGCTGTCTCGGATTCTCCAGCATCTGCAGTTCCTACTATCTCTGGTTAAATTCTGATCAAGGCATTGTCTTGAGAAGTGAATTAGAGTAATCAAGTAAATATTTTGCATTCACTAGATTCATTTCACAATTTGGGCTATCTTCTTTCCATTGAAATACCTTATCTAAGAGTTGTCTGTTTTTACGCAAGGCTTCACAAGCACACAAGAACCAGCAATCTCCCAAGAGGCCTTGTTTTATCTGTCCATCCTGTGGGTTTTCTGGAAACAACTGAGGTGATCTGGATATTTCCTGAAAATTCCAAACATTTTCAGTCAAATAAAAGAGCGCACACTGTCAGCAAAACTTTACATTATAGCAACATAGGAACAGAAGTACACCATTCAGCCCCTCAAATCTATTCTGCTATTCAATGAGATAATCTGTGGCCTAACTTCATATTCATGCCTTTGGCCCATATCCCTTAATACCTTTGCTTAACAAAAAAATTATCTCTGATTTGAAATAAACAATTTATACTTAAGCAGGAATATCAACTCTTCAGCTCTTCTTTAAAAATATGGTAAAGAAAGAATAATTCAGGATCTAGATTAGAAGTTGAAGCTTACATTTAACACGGTTTAGTTTGTTCAGAATTTTTTATAAGCTTGTGAAATTATTCACATCAGGAAGTTTCCCATATCATAAAACACCATCATGCCTGTGCCAGTTCCAAGAAGGGGCTCTCCAACTAGGCACCCTAGCCCGTGCTCGTTACAAAATGTTCCTTTTAAATCATATATACATTTCCCTTTTGAAAGCTATCATTGAATCAGTTTTCACCATCCATTCAAACAATGCAATTGAAATTATACTGGCATCCCACTCAGGTTCTGCTCAGAAAACAAGCCTAGTGTATCTCGTCTTTACATAACTGAGGTCCCTCACTTTTGGTACAATTCTGGTAAATGTCGTCTGCATCCTCTGCCAGAGATATTACTTCTAAAGTGTGGTACCCAGAATTGGACACAACACTCCAGTCAGGGCCAAATTAAAGACTATTTATTTATTTTCATAACTTCCTTGGTTGTGTGTTACATGACACTTTTTACAATAATTCCAAATGCTTCCTCCCCCCAACAAAAACAAGCTATATAAACTTGTCCTGCCAGCTTCAATGATTTGTGCATTGCAAGGTACCAAATATTTTTCACTACTTTTTTGGGCTATAAACTGAAATGAAAATTGGACTGCCTAGGTCCTTGACAGCCAGTCCATCTCGACCACTCAGTTTTGCACATCTCATTCAACTCACCCTCAGCTGCTTCTTCACTAAGGAAAAACAACTCCAGTCTATTCAATCTTTCCTCATTACTTCAATTTGCCAGTCCTGACCACAACTTTTGACAACCTTCTTTGTTATTGAGGAACTCAATTTAGCACATCTGACACAATTTAGTGTCATTTATTAGCCTATGTTCTTCCAAGTGAAAATAACTTTGCCCTAGATTATGGTATCTAGAAATGTCCTCACCACTGACATCAGGCTGATTGGCCTATAACTACCTAAGCTTATCAGTCTCCCCTTTTTTTGAAGAGTACAACACTCAACAACTCTACATACATCTGCTACCACTTCCACAACTCCCCCTCCGCCTCTGAATGTGGAAACTCTGGAATTATTCAATCTCAAGATTGTGGCTAGAGTCTTCCCTACTTCCCTTAGCTACTATCTGCATTATTATTTCAACAGACTAGAAATTAATACATCATATGAGCTTCTTTACAAACCAGTATGTGCCAATTTCCCTGAGACAAGATTACAGAAGATTCTTAGCTGTAAAATTGGCAAAATTAAAATATTATATACCTTTCAGCATTTCCAGGGAAATGGCATCATTGCATTTTAAGCACAAAGCATAACATTTTATCTAAGTGAACTTTACAGGTCTTCCCACAGTGTTAACAGGATTTTAATGAGGCTTTACTGATGACAATCGCTAACTGTTCTAAAGTGCAACAAAGTCCCTACCAATCTCATGGACACCTATTACCTATTCCCACAATGGGATAATTTGATTTGATCAATTCTCAGTATCACAGGTTATATCTGATTTGATGTAGTTATTGATCAGCTGTGTAAAACACAGTGAATCTTAAAATATAAATTACACAAATATGGTTATGTAAGCAAATTAACTACTGTCAACTGCGTGATAAACTATATATTTAGGATCTGTATGAGAACTTGGGATACTTTCCAAACAGGCAGATAAATTCTCACCTGTGGACGTAGCCATGTGATTTTACCTCTCAATTTGGTGATAGGTGTAGAATAACTTGAAAAAAGAGATGTGCTAGAAGCAGGGAAGCCCGGATCTTCAAATAGTTTCTTCTTTGGGATCTCCATATCCAAAATGGTCATTGTCACAATACACTTCACATATGCTTAAAGGAATCCCAGCATAATCATATTTTAATTTCCATCAGTTTTTTCTTTAGACTGAGAAAGTAATTGTTAAAGCAAAATTATGTTAGCTACTGAAACACATTTTATTTTCCAATTATAGATGTATGATCATGAAAATGCATAAAAACACACATGGCGTTCACTTAATTCTTACAGCAATTCAAGATAATTATAGATGGAAGAGTAATTTGGCTTAGTTCATCTGTTCAGAAAGTCTACAATTCCCCCTCCATCTCTGAACATTGAATAATTCCAGAGTTTTCATCTCAAGTACATCTAGAAGTCCATTCTATTTATTGCCTTTTTTTTCTAAACCTCTTATTCTAGAATATTTTGACTCTTGTATTTTAGCTTTTTGGTCTCTTCTCACCATATCTTCAAGACAGTGTCCACGCAGTCAAGCCATCTATAAGGTGTCTAAGGCGAAGAACTGGAAAAACTGTCTGGTAATTTATAGTTTATCTCCATAGCAATTGTCCTAGTCATCACAAGTGGAATACATATGAAGTCTGGTTTTACCTTTAAAACGTTAAGATGTTACATGAAAAATGCAAAAAAAAAGTTATGTGCAGTTACATGTTTACAGCAGCAAGGCTATTATCTGCAAACGGAAAAGAAGTAACTCAATGAAATCTAACACTACCATCTTTTTTTAAAGATAAAAAAGAGTAGTATTCACTTTCTTGTAATCTTGTGACTGCTCGAACTCTTTTGTCTATCTTACTTTTCCTGTGAAGTTTCCACTTTGTTTGATAATCAACTAACTCAGCTCAATGTAGATCCAAAATCTTCACCATCCTTTTGACTATTTGGATTTTCAAGCTTTGGAATTACTTTCCTCCCAACATGTCTGTCTCCACTTTCCTCTTTTGTTTTTCAGACCACCTTTGAAAAAACATATTTTGTTTCAAGCTTTTAGTTGCTGCTTCTAATTATTTGGATCAGCGTTGTCACAGATGGCAAGTAATTGGTCTATAATTTGGTTACAGGAATCTACTGTTCACCATTTTCCAAAATATTTAGAACAGAAAGAAAACTTGCTAAAAAAAAAACTGAGCCAAACCAAAATTCATTATTTTTTAAAATAGAGTGAAATGTTTATTTTCCAAATTGGTGACGGATCAGCAAGTTGAGCCAGCGATTATAAATATTACACTAAATATTACCTCTCTTACGCCTGGATGTATCGGTGCCTTATAACATGCTCCACACTCCGTACCACTGAGTTTAATACAGGCTACAACAACGGAGTTACCCACTTATATTTACAGCACAGATTTTTGGAATCCAATAAAGTATACAACTCTCTGCCTTTGAAGCATTTTTTCCCATTCAGTCCTGTTTATTTGGACAAGAATATACTTCATCTACAGCTTGTGGTTTGGATATTTTGAATTTTATTTGCCATTGTTTAGTGTGACTAAATCATGCAGCGGCTGCAGATTTCTTTTTGTTTTGTGTCACTGATTGGGAAATGTACTGAAGACTCATTTTCCTGGATACCGCCTTTGCTCGGCTCCCAGACCGGTTCAGATCCAGTCGAGTGCCGGGGACTTGAGGCCCAGAGATCTTCACTCTCAGTTGGAGATGAATATTTCAATTATGACATTGGTACAAACAACAAGAAACATACGAGCGAGACAGTAAAATGTAGATTTTACCTGGAGAACAGATAATCTTTTTTTCCATCTTGCATGAAGATAATGCAATCTAATTCCATACACATCGCCCTCAACTCTACTCGCAGCTCCGCCTGTTTGAGTAGTGTCGAAATCGCCAAATAATCAGCCTCACATCATTGTCAAAGTGGGATGTGGGCTATCGTCGGGAGGGTTGATGAGAATGGAAGCAAAGACTTGCATTTCTGTAGCCCTTCTTGCAACCCAAGGACGTCCCAAAGAGCTGCACAGTAACACATCCAATTTTTAAAAGCGTGGCCACTGCTGTAATGTAGTAAATGCGCTCGAAAATAAACAACGAAAACAAATTATCTGGTCCACTACATTGCTATGTGTGTTTGCTGCGCACAGTTCCTACGGCGTTGTATAAATTCAATACATATTATACAAATGAATGTTTACTTGCGTGCAGCAAATTCCAATAAACAGAAACGTAATAATGACCAAATAATAATGACCCGGCAGAAGAAATCGTGTCAGCTGGCGATCTTAAGGAAGTGCGTTTGCACTCGAGGAACATTGTGATACAATAAAATATGTATTTTACAAACCTCCTTAATCTAATCGTATTTTGTCATTAAAGAGACCTAGTTCACTCAGAATGGGGGATCTGAAGTGGTGTCAAGAATAAACAAAATATACTTTTTCTACAATCAGCAAAAATATATTTGAGAACACAAAAAGGTTGTGGAAAAATTGGGCAAATCACGAGGAAAGGATATAAAACAAAACTAAAACTGAGGAAAGAGCAGCAAAATACTGGGAAAGCTGAAATAAAAACAGAAAATGTTGAAAATACTTAGGTCTGACAGAATATGTGTTTATTTAGAGGGAAGAGATAAAGCTGGGAATTACCATGGTTATATGAAAATGTTTCCAGTAAGTATGTGAAGTTAATAATCATTTGCTAGTCTTTTCCCCACATCCTTCGTAATAATGCAAGACCGCGCATCGGTTATAAACTTACCTCCTTGTGCTTCTCAATGTGGCTGCAGGCTTTGACATCATTGACCAATGCTTCCCCAAGGAGACCCAGCTTGGACAGCTCTCACCCAATTCTGTTCTTTTGTATCTAAGCAAAACTACTCAATCATTTGTAATGGCTCGCCTTCCTGCTCCCACACCATTAGCTCTGATATTCCCAAGGATCAATCCTTGTCCCCGTTTATTTTTCATCTACATACTGACCCTCGGGGACATGTCAGAAAGTATAGCATTAGTTTCCACATTTAGATTAACAATATTCAGATCTGCCTCACCACCAACTCTTTTGGCTCCTCCACCATTGTTAAATTATAAGACCGCATATCCAATATCCAGTGCTGAATGAGCAAAAATCTCCAATTAGACAGTGGAGAAACTGAAGCCAGGGCTTCACTCCAGACACTATTTCCTACCTCCTGACTCAATTCCTCTTCCTGCAAGCATTAGAGAGTAAGTCAGTCTGTTCACAACCTTGGCATCAGATTTAAAAATAAACTTCCAACCTCATATTTAGACCATTGCAATGAATGCCTATTTACACCTGTGTAACTATCACTCAACTTTACCCCTACCACAGCTTACCTGCTGTTGAAATCCTTATTCCAATGCATTCATAGTTGGTCACCCACATTCTACTCTCTGTAAGCTTAGAAGTTATTGATAGCTTGGCTGCTTGTGTCTAAACTTGCACAAGTCCTGTACACCTTTGCTCACTGATTCTACAACGGCTTCTGGGCATGCAATAAATTGACTTTAAAATGCTCACTCTTGATTTCAAAATCCTTCATGGCTTCACTTCTCCTCACCTCTAATTTCTGCCATTAGTATTTGCACTCAATTCTGGCCTCAAGTATCCCAGATTTTACCATCTGTGTCTGTACCTTCAGTTGCCAGGCAGTAAGCTTTAGAATTTACTCCCAGCACTTCTTTTCCTTCAGGTCACTCCTGAGAAAATATGCTTCTTCTTCTGATCAGGTGACTTAATATCTCATGTGCCCTGGGATGTTAGTTTGTGTTAAAGGCACTATTCATGTTCTTTTACTGAAGTTGAGCATCATAGGTATGATAGAAAAACTGAGTCCAGTTCAATTATATACTTATTGGGTACTTTGAAAGATGTGGCACTGCATTACAATAAGATTATTTTATATTCTGTACTGAATTAATAAAAAACATAACCTTTGTCATAATAACAGAAAATGTTCAGCAGATCAGGCAGCACCTGTGAAGACAGAAACCAAGTTAACATTTCAGGTCAGTTGCCTTTCATGAGAACAGCTTAAATGACCTTTGTTTCTGTCATTACAGTGCTGCCTGACCTGCTGATTACTTCTAGCATTTTTCCATTTTTATATGAGATTTCCAGCAGAGACAGCATTCAAAATGCAACACCCAAAATTACAAAATCACTCATAAGTTAAGTCTCAATTATTTTTAAGTAAGTTTGAAGCAGACTTTAAAAATAAACAAACTTTATATGATCAAATATGCTTACAACAGTCTGTAGAATACTAATTAATTCCTGTGTGTACAATAACGTGGTAACCTAAATTAAGTTTTAAATGTTTTTTTTAACCGCAAGTGTAAAAGATCCAAAATTGGTTGTATTCTATAGTTTGTTTATATGGAAATGATTCTGGTAAAGAATCTGTTGTAACTAAAGGATAAAAAAGTTAAACATTGAGTTTAATAATGATATAATTTACTGTTCATATATGTTATTGTGTCAATGGAAATAACAATTAGTCCACCCCTGTGTGTTCGAGTGTATTCATACTTACAATAATTTCTCAAAGAATTTTCAAAGAGCAGACCATTTTAGCAATAGAATGCACTGTTTCTTCCATGCTACCTGAACAAAGTGAGTTATAGTAATATGCTACTGCGAAGGGCATGACTTGAAATTGTAAGACATGCATCAAATATGAGTGTGAAACAAGACAAGGAGGCACCTCACTAAGTGATTGTGCAGCATTAAAATCCTCTTTTAGGAAGACGTAAAAGTTTACCAACAAACTTCTTTGGTGGAGAATCAGCAGTACAATTGGATTAAATATATTCCCAGCCCTTATGCTGCAATGCATAATTCTAATGCAACACCAAGAATTTGATTTAAATATCCAGTATAAAAAAAGTTAATTGAAATGATCACAATCTATTCAACTAAATAAATTATGTAAATACATTATTAACAATCCACAGTTATCCTGATTGAGGTGTATAAGATTACGAGGGGCATGGACAGGGTGGATATGAAGCTTCCCCTTTGTTGAAGCGTCAACAATAAGGGGAAAAAAAAGCAGAAACCAGCCGAAAGCAGTGTAAGGAGCACGCTGCCACACCAATGCCTCACCCACCTCCTCCCACGACCATCTTTTGCCCCAAGTGTGGCTGAGTCTGCAGAAACTCCATCGGACTGTACAGCCACTTAGGGACTCACCTTGAGAATGGAACAGAGTCATCCTTGTCTGTGAGGGACTGCAAATGATGAATGATGATAATGAGGGGGCATCATTTTCGGTGAAGGGCAGGAATTTAGAGGGGGTTTGAGGAAGCCTTTTCAACTCAGAGGGTGATGGGAATCTGGAATGCACTGTCTGGGAGAGTAATAGAAGTGGGAAATCTCACAACTTTACAAAGCAGGTGGATGAGCACTTGAATTGTTATACGAGTCTATATCCTTTTGCCTCCACAATACCTTTGCTATATTGATCAAAAAGTGTCAATCCACCTTGACCCATAGATTCCAAAATACCTAACTGATATCCCGATATGGTGTAGATGTGACTTGAATTACAGTGCATTTACCCAAATTAAAGAACATGTACCAGAATTATGCCTGTTCTTCAAATATTTTCTATTTCAATCTAAAAGTACACATTGACTTGTCACATGACATAAACTATGCCCAAATTAATCATCAGAATTATTTACACACGATAAAATGATGACAAAACTACATACAGCTTTTAACATTTTGTTCTCACACCAAACCTTTTTCTGAAAAAGAATAGCTGGATAATTTTCATTTGAATGCTATTCTGGAAGGTTAGCAAGCATCTGTGCCTTTTTTTTGGTTCACAATTCTCAAGGTAAAATGAACGGCGAGTCACAAATGCAAAGTGCCCTCCCCATGTGAAATAGATAGGAGACATATAAATCACCCTTAGAGCACTGTTAGTATAGGATCTATTGAATTTAAAAAACACACCAAGAATTGGAGAACCTGTACACTTTGTTGAACTTAAGTTACATACCCATTCCCAAAAAATGAGTCTTGATGGATGAGGGATAAGTTCTGTCTTCAGACTAAAGAAACTGCACAACACGGCATGTAAAATTTGAAAACACTAGAACAGACCAAATCCTACATAAATAAAAGTTCAACCAATTGTAAGTGATATCCAAGCTTTCCAAGCTGATATTGACAAATTGTAAAGAGTATTTCAGGATCTTTCTCTGTAATGATAGCTCATGGTATCCTGCACTATGTTTCTGATAGATTACATAACTTCAGGTTTATAAATATCAAAGGGAATTGGATTAATCCTTTCTACATGATCACGATGGGTCTAATATAAAGCATGTGCAGCCTAAGAAATAAAGCAAAGAGTTTATATCTATCAAGTATCAAATAATCCACATCATCCAAAGTGGGAAATAAAAAAAATGTAAAAATCAATTATTTTAAATTGCCTATATACCGAACTTACACATGGATGTATACAAAATATGTTTATGGTCTCCATTACCAAGATTTATTGTCCATTGCATAATGGTTTATTCATTCTGAAATAATCTTTCATTTTCAAACACAAAGTTCCAGTGATAATCCAATTGAAATGTTTGAAGCTACAATCATGCACTCAATCCCTATATACTCAGATTTTCTCCAGAAATTATTTTTCAAGTATTCAGTTTTAGTTGTAGGCTTTTCTACTGCCTCAAAACATATCAATTCAGAAGTCTGCATTGTTCTTTCTTACCTGAAAAATCACTTTACAGTCTACTCTACATCCCCTGCACATACATACAATTCCAGTTATATTCCAAGTGGTACTGGAGATGTAACAAACCTGTCCTTATGTTGTCGAAACAATAGCATTATCCAAGTCAACCACAATATCATGGCTTCCTTGTTTATTTTTGTATACATTCACATTTTCACATTATTGGTACTTGCAAAATACTTTGATAAAATAAAACGTTTCCATTAGCCTTTTCCTCTTAAAATACATACATAAAGTTCAGTTTGACGAATTTGCAAGTATAAGAATTCTTGTATGATTTTAGTTGGCTAATAAAAAGGAAGTTTTATGCGTACAAATGAAAGACAAAATTCAAAGCTGGAAATCTGAAAATAAAAACAGAAAATGTTGGAAATATACAACAGATCAGTTAACATCCACGAAGATAAAGACATGTTAAAATGTTCTTGGTGTATTTGATCAGAACTGTGTTTGTTTTTTATTTTAATCTTCATTAGTTATCGATGAACATTATGAAAATTATAAACCTGAAAACTACGACATCCACATAAGATCATGGATAAATAGCTTCTTCAGTCTTGGGAAAATATAACTTTCATCTTAACAATAACTTGCCACTATGCAAAATATTATGTTTCGTAAAAAGACAAAGCTAATCAGTTTGGGTTGCTAGGACAAATGTACTATCTGGACATTATAAAATCGTTCTGACTTACAGAATTTTGTTTTGTAAACAATTAACAATCCATTTTCTGAGGAAGTGTTTTATTTCATTTTACTGAACATGGTATAATGAGGCTTCTGTAAAAGGAAACAAGCTTATGGATTAGAAATCAGTAGAATACTGATGAAAAAGGCACCACTGGCTGCACTACCTCAGAAAAGTATGGCCAGTTAAACAGTTGCATACAAGTTCTTGTGCAAATTCATAACACAGTTTTTGGCCCCTATACAAATTTACTTCTTTTTGAACATACTTTAAGAGATACAAAAAAGGGAAAAGGTACAAAAATTTATCAGAATAAATGGACTTTGGTGAGGTGGTTCCAGTGTTGACACAGTGGCTACAATTCTCTCAGTGTTGTCTTTATCTCCTGGGTCGTCCTCAATAGCATATTTACTAAATCCAACATTTATACCTATGGGAGCGCATGCTATTCATCAAGTTGAATAACAGAGGTGTCCTAGATAATCCGACATCGAAACAAACAGAAATTGGCAACTGTCAAAACCACCACATTAGTACAGCACCAATCATAACGAACTGCACAATATTCTATCTTACCTCTGAACCACAACCAGGCACCCAAACTACCAGACTGTGGAACTGGGTCAAAAATCACACGACACCAGGTTATAGTCTAATAGATTTATTTGATGACACAAGCTTTTGGAGTCTCGCTCCTTCTTCAGGTGTCCGAAAGCTTGTGTTTTCAAATAAACCTGTTGGACTATAACCTGGCGTTGTGTGATTTTTGACCTTGCCCATCCCAGTCCAACACTGGCACCTCCACATCAAGACTGTGGAACAACAGCTAGTGTTGAACTTCAATGCATCCCACCCCAAATTCCACAGCATCATTCCATAACACACACAGATATGCCTATCAACCCACTAGGTTTGCCAAATTTTTTAATAACTGAAACAAAGGTATGATGGAATTGAAATACAATTGTACTTAGAGATGGAATACTTGAGACTCTACTGTACAAACTGCAATGTAAAATGAAGGCTTGTCCTATGGATTAAAACAAAATGTCTCATTAGAACATTGGAGCAAATGTTCTTTTTTTTAATCTAATCGTTGTGACGATATGTTTTTCTTTGTATACTGTAATAAAACAGTTGACAAATTTGGGTAAAATATTCGAGTGCCTAATTCCACTATTTCAAAGGAGTGCAAGTAAATGAACTCTAAGAATTCAAGAGTTCATTCACTTTCTCGAAAATATTCATTCCAATAATTCTTTCGAAAAAATTCTGCAAAAATATGAAGTTGAATATCAGAAAACAATAAGAGACACACATTTCAATTCATAGTGTAATGTAAAGGCAAAATAAACTAATCTTAAATAATTTTGGACCAAATGTAAAGGATCCAATTGAAATTACTCTGAAACAGCCCAAATGCAGAACATTTAAATCATTACCTTTACATCTCTATGCTTCTGTATGCATCCCAGTGTAGATTCTAGTCTCCTGGAAATATGTATAATGAATTAAGTTGGGTCTCAACTTGCTACAAGTGAAATCTCCTTTCGGAGAGAAAAACAAGATGCATCATGCACCAATTAATGCACCAAAAGATCTTGCATCGAATAATACATTACTGCTGAACAGTGCTTGCTGTTACTAATCAAATTTATATTGAAAATGGAACATTTGAGCTGAGCAATATGTACCATCAAACTTATTGGAAATGAGAGGTTTTACTAATGAATCTTTCTGTTTTGGCAAAATCAGAATTCATACGCTTTATGCTGTCTCAATGATTCCTGTTCAATTTAGCAATACATCATATGTAATTTCTATTCTGTAACTAACTAACGAGAAGCAACCAATACTATACTAATTATTTCACTAGCACCAACCATTCAATAGCAGGTCACTTGTTGATTGCCTCTTCAGCAGCAATAGGTTCTACACTGTAGTAACTAACTTGCTGGTGTTGAGATGCTGTCTGTCCTTTCAAGCTGTTCTGCTCACTGAAGATTTCAAGTGCCTGGATTAACAATGAATCATCCTCAATCTATGATTTGTGAAGTTACATGTCCCGAATGTATGTCAAACACTCAAAGAGTGACAAAATTACTATTAGAACTACATGAAATACTGTCTTGTAAAAAACAGTTTTGGAATGCTGATTTAGGCTTCTCCATTCCGTGGAAGAGGTCCTTAAGGTAACCAGCACAAATCCTGGAATTTTGTTTAAATTAAAAAGTCATAGCTGGAAACATTTTCAGTTTCTGTAGCTGTTAGGTTCTCATGTTAGTTATTTTCTTGAATGCATCCAATAATGGCATGGATTGATCAGCTATGCTGAGACATTGACATCCCTGAGTGAGATGGGGTTTGATGCATCAGATGGTTTATCTTCTAGAAGTGTCATAACAGCAGCAGGGTTAGCACTATGTGCAAAAATCTGTTGGATTGCTCTCCTCAAGTTCACATGCAGTCTGTTCTGAGTCAGGTAAAAGGTCTCCATGGCAATGGCCTTCATGGTTCCAGCACATAGATCCTCATACAAAGGACCAGTGTACATTCGTGAGGTCTGGAAGAGAAGCAATTTGAGAAGTTACAGGACTTCTTGGCTGTGACAACAAATACAAGATAACAACAATAAATAGGACACATTTATAAAAGTGCTTCTCTCAGAGTACATAAGCAACTCCCAAAGTTAATTTAAATACACTAGGTCCTAACCAGTCATTGGGTGAAACAAGTTTATTTCTAACATCATAATTGCTTATTTTGCAAATTACCTCATATCCATGTCGTCTCATTCTCAATCCTTTAATGAGGGGGAACAGTTTTTCCCTAACCACTGTGCCTGGTCTCATGCCTTTTAATATCAAATCTTTTCTGTTTCTTTTTTTTATTCATTAATGGAACGAGGGCATCGCTGGCTAGATAGCATTTATTGCCCATCCCGAATTGCCCAGAGGGCAGTTCAGAGTCAACCACTTTTCTTACAAGTGAAATGACTTCTCCAGTCTATTTTCGTAACAGAAGTCCCTCATTCCTGGATCTATTCTCTCATAAAAAAAATTTGATAAATTACTGGGACATAAGGCTACTTAATGAGGTAAGAATCCAAGATGTTTGCAGTAGTGTATTAGTGCGGATAGAAAATTGGCCCCTTCCTAACTCCCTACCTACACTCACCTTTCCTGGCCCCATCCCCGCCTCTTCGACCTGTTTGTTTCCTCTCCACCTATCCTCTCCTCTATCCGCCTCCCACTCTCTCCCTATTTATTTCAAAACCCCCTTCCCCTCCCCCTTTTCTGATGAAGGGTCTAGGCCCGAAACGTCAGCCTCTCTGCTCCTATGATGCTGCTTGGCCTGCTGTGTTCATCCAGCCCTGCACCTTGTTGTCTCGGATTCTCCAGCATCTGCAGTTCCTACTATCTCTGATTCAATAAAAAAGAGTGAGTGGATTAAGAGGACATTTTTGGGATTGCAACCTGTAACTAGTGGAATGCCACAGGGATCAGTGTTAGATCAGGAATTATTTACAATATATATTAATGATTTGAATGAAGGAAGTGAATGTACTATTGCAGATGACAAAAGAGGTGGGGAGGGAAGTATTGAGGATGACTCAAGGAGTCTACAGAGGTATATAGACAGGTTAGGTGAGGGAGCAAAAATTAGGCCGATGGAATATGATGTGGGAAAATGTGAGGTTATGCACATTGGCAGGAAAATTGAAAGGTCTAAATATTACTTAGATGGGGAAAGACTGCAGAAAGCTGCAGCAGGGAGGGATTTAGGAGTCCTAAGGCATGCATCACAAAAAGCTAGCATCCAAGTTCAGCAGGTAATAGGGAAGGCAAATGGAATATTGACCTAAAATTAAGAGGGGTTGGAGTATAAAATCAGGGCAGACTTGCCAAAGTAGACCAAACAGTTAAGGAAGCATACAGTGTCCTATATTATATGAATAGTGGCATACAGTAAGGTGCATGAAGGTTATGTTCAATTTATATAAGACAATAGTTAGACTACTGGGATACTGTGAACAGTTATGGGCCCTTGATCTAAGAAAAGATATAGTGACAGGATGATCCCAGGTATGGACGAATTTTCTAATGAAGAGAGATTGGGTAGGTAAGGCTTGTACTCATTGGAGTTTAGAAGACTGAGAGGAGTTATAATTGAAACATACAAGATTCTTAGCTTGACAGGGTAGATGAGGCAACACAGTGGCTCAGTGGTTAGCACTGCTGCCTCACAGCGTCAGGACCCAGGTTCAATTCAAGCCTTGGCTAACTGTCTGTGTGGAGTTTACATGTTCTTCTGATGTTTGTGTCAGTTTCAGCTGGGTGCTCCAGTTTCCTCCCACTGTCCAAAGGTGTGCAGGTTAGGATTGGCCATGCTAAATTGTCCATAGTGTGCAGTGAAATGTGGGCATACTGAATAATGTGAGGTTATGGGGATAGGGCCAGGGGCTGGGTCTGTGTGGGATGCTGTTTGGAAGGTCAGTGTCGACTTGATGGGCCGAATGGCCTCTTTCTGCACTGTAGGGATTCTATGATTCTTGATGAAGAGAGACTATTTCTCCTGTAGGACAGTCTAGGACCACAGGACATAATCTTAGAGTAAAATGTCACCCATTCAAGATACAGATGAGAATCTTTTTCTCACAGAGTGTGGTAAATCTGTGAAATTCTTTACTGCAGAAGGCTGTCAAGGCTTGGTATATTCAAGGATGAAACAGATAAATTTTTAATGATAAAAGGAATCAAGAATTATGGAAATAAAGCAGTAAAGTGCAGCTGAGGATTATCAGATCAGTTATGACCTCATTGAATGGCGGAGCAGACTTGATGGGCCTACTTCTGTTGTTACGTCTTATGGTCTAAAGCTCTTCTTCACTCACTTTAATGAGCTCATATCCTTCCCAAATAGTGGGTGGCCAGAACTATACACAATATTCAAGCTAAGGTCTAACTAGTAACACAGTGTGGAGCTAGAGGAACACAGCAGGCCAGGCAGCATCAGAGGAGCAGGAAAGCTGATGTTTCAGGTCAGGACCTTTCTCCAGAATTTCTGAAAAAGGATCCTGACCCAAAACGTCAACTTTCCTGCTCGTCTGATGCTGCCTGGCCTGCTGTGTTCCTCCAGTTCCACACTGTGTTATCTCTGGCTCCAGCATCGGCAGTTCTTACTATCTCAAGGTCTAACTAGTTAGTATCTTCTTTTCCTTTTTGGCTGTCCTTCCTAAATGTCAAATGTCCCTGCCTTGGTCACCCTGGAGCTATGTTTCTGCATGGCAATTAGATCACATGCACTTACCTCCATTAGAACCTTTAAAATAGCTACCTTGTTGCCAATGCTGTGTTCTGCAAAATAAGCACCTTCAAATGTTTAATTACAAGATACCTGTTTCGCAAAGTTTTATTGGTCAATCTTTAATGTACAGTATTTTAAGTATCTTACATGGTTTTCCAGGAATCGTCGCACTTTGTAGAAATCTGGTAAATAGTTGTTTCTGACTACAATCTGTAACCATCGAATTCTAATTTCAGCATTCATGGAGTCGAGCAGCGCAGAGTAACTCTTTGAGAGTTTCATCATGGCCTCTGACAAGGCAAAAATAGAAAAATGTTTAGGCATTTCAACTCATCTAAATTATTTATATTGATAGCAATATTAACTGAACAAACAAACTTTCAAAAATGAGCAACTGAACAGTTTATGTTGTAGTTCTATTAGGACGATCCTCAGATTTAGTCCTCATCACAGCCTTGGTCCAAAAATGGAAAAAAAGAGCTGAATTCCACAGGTGAAATGAGTATGAATGAATTTGACATAGGCAGCATTTGACCAAATGTTGTGTCAAGAATCACTTAACAAAAAGGAAAGTCAATGGGGATCGGGGAAAACTCTTTGCTGGATGGAGTCATTCTTAGCACAAAGGAAGGTAATTTTATTGTTGGAAGCTAATCACCCCAGCCCCAGGACATCATAACTGGAGTTTCTAAGGTATTGCCTTCACTTGCTTCATCAATGCCCTTCCCTCCATTGAGATTGTAAGTGAGGATTTTTACTGATAATTGCAGAGAATTCAGTGCTATTCTCAGATACTTATGCAATCCATGCCTGCATTCTGCAAAGCCTGAGTGTTCACATTTGCACTGATTAGTGGCAGGAAACAATCACCGTACAAGAGTCAGGCAATGACTATCTCCAACAGGGCAGAATCTAACGATCTCCCTTCGACATTCTATGGTACTAATATTGTTGATTTTCCCCACCATTTGGGACTAACCATATGAGCTTTTTATATTCACTCACATGACATGGGCATTGCTGGCTGGCCGTCCTGTGTTGCCTGTGAGAAGGTGGTGGTGAGCTGCCTTCTTAAACTGCTGCAGTGCACATGATGAAGGCTAACGCACAATGCTCTTAAGGGAGGGAATTCCAGGATTTCGATCCAGCAACAGTTAAGGACCAGCAATAGATTTCAAGTCAGGGCGGTGAGCAACTTGGAACGGAACTTGCAGGTGCTGGCATTCCCATGTATCTCCTGCCCTTGGCCTTGTCCCTGTCAAGCCTTTAAGAATCCTATATATTTCAGTCAGATCACATCTCATTCTTCTAAACTCCAGTGAGTACAGTCCTAACCTGTTTAGCCTTTACTCATAAGCTATCCCTTCATACAAAGTATCATCGAAGTAAACCTTCTCTGAACTCCAATGAAATAACATCTTTCCTTAGATAAGGGGACCAAAATTGCTCACCGAACTCCAGATGTGGTCTCACCAGTACCTTGTACAGTTGAAGTAAGACTTCCCGACTCTCATACTCCAACCCCCTTGAAATAAGGGCCAACATTCCATTAGCCTTCCTGATTTCCTGCTACACCAGTGTGCTAGCTTTCTGTGTTTTGTGCACAAATATCCTCAAGTCCCTGTGTGCTGCAGATTTCTGCACTTTTTCTCCATTTAAATAATACTGTTCTTTTGTTCTCCCTTCCAAAATGAACAACTTCACATTTTCCCACATCATACCCATTTGCCAACTTTTGCCCACTTATTGAACTTATTAATATCCCTCTGTAAACTGTTGTATCCCTCTCGCAACTTGCCTTCCACCAATTTTGTGCCATCTGCAAAATTTAGCCACAGTACATTTGCTTCCTTCCTCCAAGTATTTATATTGTAAACATTTGTGGTCCAAGCACCAATCCCCGTTGTAACCCATTCATTACAGGTTGCCAACCTGAATATGAGACCCTTATCCCCATTTAGTGCTTCCTGCCTATTAGCCACTTCTCTGTCCACGTTAATATACAACTCCAACACCATGTCAGAATGCGTATTCTTGTTTAAACATTCATGTTCCCCTCAAAATATTAGGGTTCAAAATTTTTATTTCTGATGCTCACAGAAATTAACCATGCATTAATAATCAATGATAATATTGACATGCAGGTGACAGCAACATTTATAGAAAACCTTGTGAATTTGCTGGGAAATTCAAACTATGAGCAGTTCTGTGATCCCTATAGTTGGACGGCTAAATGTGTAAAATTTTGAGAAACCTCTCCTGACTCCCAATATTATATTCTCTTTCAGAATGTACACGTGACAACTCAGATACTTAAAGCATCACATAAATCCTTTCCCATGTCCCTTATCAATAGCTGCAGTAAACAAAGTGCAACATGCCAAACTGCTACAGTTTTACCACAACTGAACTGTTAAATCACTAAACAAGAGAACTGGAGAGCTTAATGAAGAAAAGCTCTATAAAGCCAATGTAATCACTTGACAACATTCCTTTTGCATGTGTCTCTTTGGAATAGTTAATATAGCTAAGATATTTTTCTAGTGTTCTATCGTTAAAATGTTAGGTTTCAAGAATAAATCAAAATTATAACTTCTCAAATTGATAGCAAAATTGTGTCTTTGCATATATTATATTCCAGAAAACATTCACTTGCCACAAGATATCACTCACTCATATTTCCCTGCAAAATTGAAATCTGTACAAGGCTGGGCGCTGCCTTCATTGTCAAATTAAGCTTAGTTATCTACCACTTTGATCAGCTAAACATTATCACTGCCTCATACAACCTTTCCCTGCCTAATCAGAATGCTGAAACACACATTCATCTAAAAGAAAATAAGTCTTCCTTATGATTACATAAAAGGTTTATACCACCAAAGGAGACCACCATTTGGTCCATCCTGCGCATGTCAACTAAAATAAAGTCGAAATTAAACAGTTTAATTAACCCATTCTTTACAGTAATAAGCATACTACTTGATTGTAGCAATTCTGTTTATAATCATGCAGGTTACATAGAAGGTAGCCTCAGTATTAATTTCTCTGTTAATTATTCTCCGAAGAATGCAACATCAAGTTAGAAGTCTTGTTGTTGTAACCCATGAATGATTTATGAAAGGGAAAAGCAGAAATGTTTGCTATTCAGTGTCAGAAACATGGAAAAAAACTACATTAATAACATGCGTAGTGCGAAGTATGATGAGATCAAAGTCACTACGAAGCAAACCTGGCAGCTGTCAATGAAATCTGGGAATCAGTAGTTCTGCTTTCAGCACTGAAGAATGAGCAGCCTGCAATGGAATGGGAAACAATCCCTCTATTTTTGATTTAGACTCTTCAACTTCTGAGGTCTGTGTGACTTTAGAACTCTCTGCCTCAACAGGTGGTGGAGAAGGGGTGGTGTCATTAAATATTTTTAAGGCAAAAGTAGACACTTTCTTGTTAGGCATAGGAATCAAGCGTTATCAGTGGTGGGGTAGATGAAAAGTGGAATTCAAAACACAAAAAGATCAGCCATAATACTACTGATTGGAGGAGTAGGCTCAAGGGGCTAAATTACCTTCTTCTGCTCCTATTTCATATGTTTGTATACAAGTCCTCTGAACTTAAAATAACCAGATCAGATTCACTTTTTGACTTGTATTTCACAGCTAAGATGGTGTTTACATTCAGCTTCCCACAAAAGTGATCAAGTTCTTAAAGTTTTGATGTAGTAAAAGGCTTTACACATTGATAAGCTTTCCAACTGTATTTCTAGAGAGGAGTGACCACTGAAGTATTCACAGTAGCATGACTTTCTTTCAAAGCACAATGAGCAAACTTCAAATCAAAGCATTTATTTAAATATGCATATTGATATGTTAGAGTGAACTCTAAGAAAACAGTTGAACAAGTACATTATCCTACCATGAGGCAGTGGAGATCTGTCTAGAAGTTTGTCCAACAGGTGAACTATTTGGAACGTTTTCCATTTAGAAATATCAATGTCAGTAATACGGTTTCCATCAAGAGTTTCTGAACTCCAGAGCTGGTACAGAGATTCCACTGGTTTGATCAAACTAGATCCCTGAGACAAATCTGGCTCCAGCAATGGAGGTCCCGATGCATTCAGCCAGCGCTCAAACTCTAACCCTAAAAACAGAGAAAAATCTCCAGATGAAATTGGTCTTTGATAAAACAATTTCTTAGATCAAACAAGCAAACTATTTTCTAACATGGTCAAGAAAAACAAAGATCATTATATGAGAAAATAAGAATTGATTTAAGTGAAGTGTAGAGTTGATCTTATTTATGTGTTCTGATGCACAAATGCTTAAGGTAATGTTAAATATTAAATTGAACATTTTCCACTTTCTATTTACAGTGGACTTTTTTTGAGGACTCGCCTTAAGATTTTCATACCCGGCTACTTTCTCATCTTTAATTTTACTTCTTGGCTTTCAGGAGCTCCTTTCTTTCCTTCTCACTAATTCATTTAATAGGTGATGCACTCACTTGATAACAATATGTTTTCATGTTGACATGTGCAACAGGTAGACTTGCACAGAAGCAAAATTAAGAGTAATCGTCAATGTCCTCAGTAATGAGCAATCTTCTATTAAAAACTTAAAAGCTCAATATACAAGGCAAACATTAATTTCTAGGCATCACAGTATTTATATTAGCATAAGACAGCTAGGATAAGTTAGCAAAACATTTTTTTTTCACCAACATAAGTGACACACAAAAAACCCATCAACCTAAACATATCTTTCACAGAGTGGTGAGGTCATAGCTAATGTGTTTCAATTGTACAGGCACAAAGTTGGAAGATTTTAAGCAGCCAGTTTACTGCTGGTCAGAGCACAATTTCAAATTAAATTTAGCAGCTGACGGTGTTCATTACAATCAAAGCATCCATTACATTTTTCTCCACATAATAGCCCATGAACAAATATAGCCTTAAGCAAGATGTTCCATGTCCATTTGCAAGGAATTCATTATCTCAGTGATTTCAACTTAATTTGGCTTCTAGTAAGCTGAACATTTCTTTGTTCACCACTGAGAACTGCTATCCCTCCTTTGCAGCCTCCTTCGCCTTCCCACTTCACAGCTTCCCTTTCCCTTCTTCCCTTGCAACCCCCACTTTTCCCCTCACCCTCTTGAAGTCTCTTTTAGCTTCCTCCTAACAACTCGTAGCCCTCTTCCTTTCTACCACCCAACCTCTCCTCCAAACTTTCTTGCACTCACTCTCCTCCAGTTCCCCTAACTTCCTTTACAGTTTGTCTCTTCCTCCGCATCTCCACTGCAGTCTCTTTCTTCCTCTTGTCTATGGCAAACAGAACTCCCGAAGATAGCTACCAGCCTCAGGTACCAACAACAACCCCCTCCAAACAAATGCTTAGCCATAGCACATTCTGCCCTTGGAACCCTGGGTCTCCACACCTCCAACTGGCCTTCACTACTCTGCACCCTGACCTCTCTTATCACACTCAGCCTTGGCAAACCATGGACACCTCTTCCCCAACCTGCAAAAAGGATTCCCTGATAGGTCACTTACTCACCTTCCTTCTTTACGCTGCTTTCTGTATCTCCATTCACAAATCTTTGCTCCCTTGCATTTCCTGCTGATAGCGAACTTATGTGCCGATTGGCAACAGAGATACAGCCTGTGATCGGAGGAACAGTTCCTCACTGATTCTCTCTATTCTACTTACTGAGGAGACTTTTCTCCCATTAGTTGTGGAGACTTTCTAGAATTTGCCTGCCATGGCTATGTATTGTGAGCCCTGCAATCTCCTGATAGAGAAATTCTACTGGACAAATCAGGTCAACTGGAAAATATCCTTTCTGCTAACTCCATGACAAGCTGCAACGTAATCTTAGTGCAATAAATTCCTGCTTCTACACACAGGTCTCATGGGCTTCTTAGCGACTGTCAACACATTTCCAATGATCGGTGAACTGGGGTTGTTTTGATTTTACAATCTTCACCCATTAAATACTTAATAATCTTTTCAATGACAGAGCACCACAGTACAATTGTATAGACTATCCTACTTGAGAGTAGATTGTTTGTATCTCCATCTCAGTAATAGCATTGATCAATGAAGCATTTAGAGTTACATGTATCAAACCTGTAATCTCCTTCATCTTTGGGAATTATTCCACAAAGATCTTAATAAAATTCATGGGGTGTGTGCGTCGTTGGGCAGACTAGTATTTATTATTCATCTCTAACTGATCTTCAGAATGTGGGTGAGCTGCCTTCTCAAACTATTTTCATAGATCTTTCAAGCTATTGGTTTCCCATGGATAAGGGGATGAAATAGCTTCCTTCAGTAAACAATGCACTAGTCTTCTGCTTAACATGACTCGGGACAACAGGCTAACTTCAGCTCTTGATGTCATCAGCCACAGCCTGAAATGAGCCTGAAGTATAAAACTTCAACTTTGACATTCAATGGAAGTACCATTCATGTGAAGAGATTCCTGGATGGTGAATGCAGTATTAGTCCATTAAGAGATCCCTTGTTCAGCACGGTTTCTTTGAACATTTCTGATATTGAAGTTTCTTCAGCTCTGTTCATAAGTTCTGCGTGGGGTGGAGGTGAGGTATTTTTCAGAGCAGTTACTGAGCATCTTTGGAGTCATCTGACCAATTGGCAATCCTCTTGGGTCACTTCTTCTAGTCTAAATAATTCCTACAGGAAGACTCATTGTTGCACAGTTATAACTGTTGGTAAGTAATGACAGCAGCTTGATAATTGCCTCAAAAGGCTTTTGGAAACTTAAGTGACAACAAGAAAATGAAAGTACAAAAAAATAGCCTGACAATTTGACAACCTTCTTAATGCGTTACTTAGACACTACTTCTTCTCCAGATCAATTAACTCTGGACATTCAGCTGATATAGGTAATTAAATGGAAAGTTGCCATCATCCTACCATACCACAAGGCTACTCTCTCATTAGAGTCAGCGAGAGACGACTTGTGGTGGTTTAACCCTGAAAGCCACCATGCCTCAGGCAAGGGGAAGTGTTAAGGAGGAGACCTCTTTATAGTAACCTCAGCTGATGCAGAAATTGAATCCATGCTGTTGACATTACTCTGCACCACACACCAGCCATCCAGCCAACTCAATTAACCAAACCCTCACTTGTAAATAACTAAGATTGCAATGATTATGCACAAAATGTGTGTGTAATGTCATTTTGGTTTTAATTACATGCAATATTGTGTGTCTCAAAGTTTCTTGAATTCATCACAATCACATAAAACTAGACAGAATAAAAATTGAGGAGAGATTCTAGATAATGGAATTCAACCTAATTGTCAGATTTTTTTACGTATTTAATTATCAATTTCACATCGATAAACTAAATGTCACCAATCAAAAAAAATGGACATGACTGCCTTTAAGCAGAACTGCTTAATCAGTAACACAAGTTGTTAAAATAGCGACAGAAACTCAGACCAGGCACACTGGTCTCTTCAATAGTACATTCTCTTCAAATAATACATTCCAAAAAACAGGAAAATCTGCGTAAGAAAGTTGTGGAACATTATCACTGAAAATAGTTTTTCCTTTAGAACAAGCAACAAAACATAATTTGCAAGTGAACATTTTTGCTCTTATCTTCAAGGACAAATAGTCTGCAGGAATCTCTAAGACCACAGACTTGTTTTCTTAAGTTAAAGGAATACACTTCAAGTAAAATTCAAAGGTTGTCTGTCTACAAAGTTGATAGCCACATGGGGCAAACCACAAACTGCTCATCTAACCCCTCAACTGAAAGATCAGATCTAAAGCATGGAATGTTGCTAATGCATTGACACAGTTTTAAAGATGCAAGAATGAGCTATATCGGAGTGGTATAGTTTTCAGTTCTTTTTTTAACTCAAAGTGTTCTGAAGTAACCACAAGTCTCAGAAATGAGAGCTCAGCTGTAGAAGTAACTAACAGGAAATAAACATAAAGAAATAAACATAGGAAAGTAAGGTTTTATTTTTGTGTATTGCCTGCCTGTAATTTTCCTGAGCATTAAAACAAATAGGCAAATGCCACAGTTGGTGGAGAGAGACACAGGAAGGAATCACATGATGACAAGTGAACAACTGGAAACCAGTGGGTTACTGGTCTACTGTCTAAAAGAGAACAACGAACACATTTACCCTTGTAACAAAAGAATAATCCAGAATGTACTTCTATTGACAGACAATCAAAAGTCAGCATCAGAAATAACTGGAAACAAGTTTAAACAAAACAAGGAAAAGAAAAACGTGCTCCCTCAACATTTTGTCGTACAGTAGGCATTCCTTGTATAACAGTCAGATGTAGTGGGCAAATGACTGATGGAAAAAACCTCAAATTGTACTTATAAAGATCCTCTTCAAATATTTCACCAACCTTCTTTGTTGTCCACACATTTCTCCCTGAGCTCAGGAAAAAAGCCGAGGAAAAACTCTAGTAGGTCAGCTGCAACAACACTTGTAAACTTGAACTTTTCTACATAGGCCTAAGAAAAGAATTAACATTAGTGACTTATGTCTTGTATGTTAGTCATTTGTACTTCATCTAAAAATGGGAACTGAATCAGTCATAGTGGACCACAGGACCCATTCTATAGTTACTGCTGTGTAACTGTGATTGTGATCAGTTTCTAATGGTGACAGCCCTTGGACTCGAGGTTTTAACAGGAACAGTATTACATTTATAGGATGGATAACATGTGTGGCTGAATCAATGACATTATTTAACATATCCGAGGGTTCACTTCTCAATAATTTCACATTGCAAAATTGTTCAGGCAGAAAGGGCTGATAATTCATTTGTGCATTGGGCAGTTTTTCTCTGAATCAGAGGTTAGAGTACTTGTTAGGGCAATGCAGAAGACTCTCTACTCTCTGAAATTACAGTGTTTTCTGTTAGCAATACGGGATGGTTGCTACAAGATGACAGGTTTGCCTTTCAAAGTTACTTTAAAAATAAGATGAAAAATAAAGCAAGCTGCTGACAGAACTTACTCTGAGGAAGGAGTCGAAGCACTTTGTGTCTCCACAGAGCTGTGAAAGATAGTACACAAAGCAGAATCCTTTCTCGTAGGTGAAAAGATTCATTAGACTGCTGGGATTGACACCTGCACAAGAATATAGAATAAATATCACACATTTTCCTTCACAGTGTATACTGCAGCTACTCCTGATCACTGACCAAAAGAAATGTTTACTGATTAATACTTATGACTCCTTATGCAGATTAATGGATTAATAATGCTGCTTTCACTGTGACAGTTGGTAGACAATATGTACATTATTGGATTACGGACTGATTTACAGTTTCTTCCTGGATTGGTTCAGAATACAAACTGGTTTACCTCAGCTGCAATACTAATCTTTGACGACTGAGGTAATGAAAGAAAGAACAAGTTAAAACAAGCATCACAGTGCAATCATTCTACTGAATGTCTTCTTTCCTCAACAATGGAGGATTGAGATCCATTAAAAATCGATGCATAAACCACTCCAATCCAAATGATCTACTGTGTGTGTTTATCAACTACGCCAGTTTAGACCTATTGTAGTTCACAGGACTGAAAGTGCCACATGTATCCCATAGAAACTGCCAAATACCAGTGTAACCTGATGAAAAAGTGTTGTATTCTGAAATCAGAGAGTTGGTTTAATTTAGTTAGTGCTTTAATAGAGCAGCTGGCTTTGTTGAAATTGCAAACAGAGGTAAAATGGAGACCTGGCTCAAACTTCACTTGTAGTCTGCTGACAGGACTCTCATCTCCAAGCAGTTTCAGCTGACGATGCAGTGCTTCCAGTCGAAAAGTGGTTTCAAGACAAGTAAAAGCAGCCCCTGAAAAAGAAGGGAAACCAATTTTTTCTCCCTTAAAAATATTTGCTTTCTTTCTGTGAGCTTTTGGAGACTTCTACACCTTGCATTATTCCTTGAATGGGTATACTGGATGGTAAAGCCTACTCCCTGCAACGTGGAACTGACCACTTGAAGCACAAAGGCACTATATGGTGGCTCATATTTGAGTTTTCCTTCCAGCTTGCAAGAAAGCACCTGCTCTCATGTCAATACATCTGATAGCACAAGTTAGTTTACGAACCTTGTATGAATTCAGCTTCAGGGAATTGTCACAGCATGTACTTAAGTGCAATGGAACAATCATGTAACATCTGAATATATAGAATTATGCTTATGAAGTTATTTGGTGGCACCAAACCTTGGTTTGCTGAAGAAAGGACAGTTTGTTGAAGCTTTATATCTTGCTCATATCTGAACAATTCTCAAAAAACACCATTTATGCTGTATGAGAGGAGATACTTATTGGGTGGCAAGTGGACTTCAATTGTCAGAGGTATTGCCATAGTGAATGCACTAGTGTACATGATGGAATTCTGACAGTGCCATAAGCTATAAGACCGGCTTTATTGTCAATTTTGTAAATAGGGCCTAAGCCATTTGTTCACCACTCAAACTCGATACCAAAATGAGGCTTTTCAAAGTTATCATTTTGGTCCTTTGCTCCTGAAAAATGCCCTCAGATTACTTAAGAGTAACTTAACACAACAGTCTCAGCAACAGGCGAAGCTAATTGTTTCATGCTGCTAATACATAGTAGCAACACAAGTGGTGTTTGCCATCAATAAGACATTGTCCATCAGACAAATGAATAACATGGTATATGTATATACATATGTAATGGTATACACAGGGATAATCAGCCAAACCAAATCAGCCTCACTATCACTGTATTCATAACAAAGTGAAATTAAAACATTCCAATGTGCTCAAAATTGCTCAATTGTTCCAAACCACACTTTACAAATTACAGAACCTAAACACCAAGTTTATAGTTTAAAAATTAACAATTTATTCTTAATAAAGTAACTTTAGCAAAACACAGAAACTATGAGAAAATTTAATATCTACAATCCATATCCAATCTTTTTTGAATATAAACCCCTACTTACACGCTGGTAGACATACAGAGTTAAGGGATGAGTTTGTTAAAATTGTAATTTACTAGTTTGATAACCATTTCATCAATAAATACCAGGCCTTAATTAAATCCTTGGACAATGGGTTATATTACAAGCATGTAAACTGCATAGCTTCCTCGATTTCCAAAGTCACCGGTCAATGCAAACAGCTTTTGCAGATCTCTGGAAATTTCGAACTTATTTCTTAGAGATTGGAGTTATTTTCTCAGACCTTTCAACAAATCAATAACTAGAGAATAACAAGAGAGAGTAAAACCAAAAACCCAGTCCAGTGTGGCAGCTTCCAAAGCAAAAGCTGGCCCCTGCTCACCAAATTCAGTCACAGCCAATTCACTTTGTGCTTTTTCCTTTTTAATGAACATTCCCTGTGGTTGGCTAGCCAGCACCGATTCTCTCTTGATTGACCAATTCAACATCCAACCAACTCCCAGTCCCTCAGCATAACAACATCTTGGTGCTGAAATATCTGGTGTTCTTACAGCAATAATTGACCTGCATTATCTTTCCAGGTCAGTTCCCAACAGCAAACATCAGTCTTTTGTTCATTATTCTTGTTCATTATTTTTGAACAAATTGCTGTTCAACATACAAAGTCCAATTCTCAACTTCAACTCTCAGTTCAAAACCAAAAATGAGAATCAGGGCGGCATGATGGCACAGTAGTTAGCACTGCTGCCTCGCAGCGCCAGGGACCCGGGTTCGATTCCAGCCTTGGGCAACTGTGTGGAGTTTGCACATCCTCCCCGTGTCTGCGTGGGTTTCCTCCGGGTGCTCCGGTTTCCTCCCACAGTCCAAAGATGTGCAGGTTAGGTGGATTAGCCATACTAAATTGCCCGTAGTATTCAGAGAAGTGTAGATTAGGTGGGTTGTAGGGGGATGGGTCTGGGTGGGATGCTCTGAGGTTCAGTGTGGACTTGTTGGGCCAAAGGGCCTGTTTCCACACTGTAGGGATTCTATGATTCTATGAAAAATAGTGATGGTCTCAACACATATGAGTTTCAGCATTAGTGTGATGTTTGTCATACATTTGTCCAAAAGACTGGCAGATCATGTTGAACAGCAAATCCCTTTTGCAGTTCATGACAGGCTAGGTACTGACTATATCTAACCAGCCATGCTTTGCAGAACTCAAAACACAGTAACCAACATTAGATGCGACTCTGATGGGACATTTGCTGAATAATCCTCAATGTGCAAAGGAAGTACTCTGACAACCAATTTAGGATTCTTAACTTGGTTTGCAGAGTGGTGCACCGGTATGAAGGAAACTACCTGTATTAATAGATAATACCCTTTTCTTTGCAGACAGAAAGAACTAGTACACACACTGCAACTATTTCAACTCAATTAAATAAGAGACAGTCAATATTTCCTCTAAGCTGCACGGCTGCATGTTCTGAGGTTCCACACTGATTGCAGAATTGATTTCTGATTTTGGAAGTCAATGTCATGCACATCCTTGGAATCCTGCACAGCCCTGAAAGATAATTAGAAGGAATGCTGGTGGCAGCCATTTGTTAGTTCATTTCTCAAGGCAATGCCTTGACTAAGCAGAGTCAACCTGCCGGGTTTAATATTTAAACAAAGTTTGGAAGTTATCTGTCAGTGATCGTTAACTGGGGCAGTCTCTATTGCAATGCCTCTACCAGTCAAAGTCCATTTGCCAGTCAATGGTGTTTTTTCAGCAGCAAAATGTTGTGAATTTTAAAACACAGAGCAATCATTGTTGCTTCAACTCTTAGTACAGCCCAAAAGCATCTAGATTACAACAGAGTTCCTATATGTATGCAATCTTTCGGTGAGAACTATAAGGTTTTAAGCACTACTCAAATAGGCTACATTTTTAACATCGCCTTCCATGATGAACTGCATTAACAAAGGTTCATGATTCAGCCTTAGATATAATAATCAACATTCACCTAGGTACTATAAATTGTTTTACCATAACAACAGCAGAAATAAATACCACTAGGACAGCTGTGCATTTGAGCTCTGTGATAAAGCCTGGATCTATGGGCAATGTTTTAGTGCCCACAAAATTTTCTGACATCACCGCCCGCTGACAGCAGAACCACCTGTCCTGAAATGGAAAGCATGTTTTTCCAAGGCTTTAACAGAGAATGACATTTAGTATTTATTGATATTGAGTTGTCAATCAGGGTGAAATAAAATAAGTTCCAGCATTGTTAGGTGCCTACAAAAAAGGATGAAATTGATTTAACTTGACCAGTAACTACTTCTCAAGGATTTATATAAAGCATATTTCTCACTTAATTTGGAATTTTCTTTGTTTCATCATCTCTGACAACTGAATTACCATTTAAACTTTGTACCTTCTGTGCTGTTTCCATTCAAACCTGCCTCACAGACATATTAAAGATATTGACATTGGGAATACCACTGTATTTTAGTTTACTGAAGCAAGAACGAAAAAGAAAGGAACACCAGGATCATCAAGCAACTCCAAGTGCTTAGCATCTAGCTACCATTATCCCTACTACAAGGAGAGTTAAGTGTTTCTGACTCTAGGTGACTCAATAATAATGTTATGGAAGCTAGAAAAGAAGCTACCCCTAAAGGTTTCTGGCAGAATAGCCATGACTGTTGACAGCCATTCAAACACCTAGAAAATCGCTAGAACAGTATCAACAAGGTGCATTTTCCACCAAAATTCCATGTCCATGCTGTCTGTGACAGAGGTGGTTTCAGGAACCTGGATCTCATCAAGATCTGCCATTTCCCAGATTCTCAAGAATTACGATGGTCTGCCACCCACCATACAATTTTACCTTCAAAAGCAGCCACTTCACAAAGATCCTGTAGGAAAATGGCATCCAAGGGGAACTGGCATATCAGACAGAACAGAATCAAACAATGACTGCAAGAGACATTCATAACAATCTTGTGATAAACTATTTCTCGCTTAGTCACTTGGTAGGAGAGGATATCACTATTGCTGAAAAAAGAAAACATATTGAAGTTTTTTGTCTTGCATCCATCAGGATAAAAGGAATAGCTCCAAATTTGAAGGAAACAATAATTTTATTATATGAAAAAGCGTGCTGATTGGTTAGCCATTCAACTCTGATTGGTCGAGGTATTTTCATGGAGAATTCACCAAGGAACTACTGTATCCCCTGCTTTTGTTCAAGTCAGAACAGTTGCAAAACCTGTTTGTATCTTCTGCTTGTAGAACACAAGACCCTGTGCATGAACGTTGGTAGCTTCTAGAAAACATAAATGAGCGACATTTTTGACTACCATTTCTGGCTTGTGCATACATAGTGCTGTCTACATCTTCCTCTTTCCACCAAAAATATGTTACAATATTTGTACTTCTAAACCATTCTCCCTTCATCTGATTAGTTCTTATAAATGTGCTTATTTTGGTAACAGTGTGAGATACTTGATCTTACCTTTGACATTAACTGAAGCTGAAGCACATGAGACATATCTCAAAGTAAACTTTTGTAACCCTTCCCTCATGGAAGATATCTCCTGGGATGAACCCGCCACAGGCTGCAGCTCTTACAATGTGGAAAGGGCAGCCTGAAATTGCACCCTTTCTGACATATGACTTGTATTTGAAGGAGATGGTGAGAAAGCTCTTTTCTGTACTACCAAATGACGATTTGCATACATGACTATAATGTGTGCTAGAGTGAACCTCATGGCATCTATGTCATCACTGAAAAGTTGAAAGATACTTTCAGTGCCCTGGCACTAAAAGACTAGGTCAAGTAGAATCAATCCACATGTGGTGACAATTGTGTCAGTACTTTAAGCATCAACGGTAGGAGCATAAATTCTGTTGCAGGAGTCTCCATTGATCAACGCCTCTTCTTCCTCAGGTGGCTCAGGAAATTTGGCATATCCATAAGGTCCCTCACCAACTTCTACAAATGCACCATTGAAAACATACAGTCCAGGTGCATAACGGCCTGGTATGGCAACTGCTCTGCCAAGGACCATAAGAAACTACAGAAAGTTGTGTGCACAGCCCATGGAAGCCATTCTTCCATCCACGGGCTCTATTCACATGGCTCGCTGCCAGGGAAAGGCGGCCAACATCATCAGAGACCCATCGCATCCCAGTAATGACTTACTACAACCTCTTCCATCAGGCAGAAGATACAGAAGCCTGAACACATGCACAAGCAGGTTCAGGAACAGCTTCATTCTGGCCATTATCAGACTGCTGAATGGGCTCTAGCCTCAAATTCTATAACCTGCAATGTAACCTGTAGGCCACTAAATCTTTTTGGTCTGTACATCCTTTGCTTGCTATGGTCTGCCTGTACCGCTCGTAAACAAAATTTTTCACTGTATTTCGGTACACGTGACAATAAAATCAATCAATCAATCAGCCTGAAGCCACAGACTCCAAGGTGGACTCACAGAGATAGTAGGAACTGCAGATGCTGGAGAATCTGAGAT